TTCAAAGATGATGTGTTTACACAATGCAAGAGATGCTCTGTCCCTCAGACTTGCTTTTAAGTAGAATAAAGTATACAAACACACAAACTGATCAGGGAAATGACATCATGCTTGATATATTAAGTGGGGGGAAAGAAGGAGGAAAGGAGGGAATTTGGAGTGATGGTTTGTCTTCCCAAAGAACTGCTACCTGTGATGGGGCCCTGCTCTCCTGGACATGGCTGAACACCTGTTTGCCCATGGGAAGCAGTGAATTAATTCCTCATGTTGCTTTGCTTCTGCATGCAGCTTTTACTTTCCCTATTAAACTGTCTTTATCTTAGTCCATGAATTTTCCAGCTTTTACCCTTCCAATTCTCTACCTGATCTCACTGGTGGGGGAGTGAGTGAGAAGCTGCGTGGGGCTTGGCTGCTGGCTGGGGTTAAATCATGACAACCACAAAGAAAAGGAAATTAATTTTTCTACTGCTGAAAAAACAATCAGGTTCACACCACACACATACAGACAAAAAATTCATGCCCGGTTTACTTGAAATGCTGCAATGCCTGGCACTCCTGATTTTTACTTCCTGGAGGAAAAATTGATGTCTTCTACATCTAGAGAATTACTAATCAATTCAGCTACAAACTGAGGTTATTAATATGCAAGTGTTGAGAAAGATCTTCCTGAAACTTATTCTAGTGGATGATAAGTAGATGGCTATGTGAATTCATTCCACTGTTGGGTAAATAAAGCGAACTACTTTTCACAATTTCCTAGATTAGAGAATGAAATAAATATATTCTCAAGAAAAGAAACTGTATTGCAACCTTCATGTTTATAGTTACCTCTAGTGAGTCATGGTGGCAGTCCAGCTTCCAGTCTGATAATCACTGTGCAAGCTGTAAGGTACCAAGGTGCCACAGCCATCACAGCGAGCAAGTAACTAAGACAAATGAAGACAGGAAGAGGCATACAAAGAATCACAGGGAGATAAATTATATAGCAATCTATTATCTATATGTGTTACATCTTAATGCATACTGTAGCATTTAATATATAGAGCACACTGTAGTGAGAACTGCCTGTGCGATCTACAGTTCAAGTGACAATGGAGACTTTTTTTAGCCCTGTAGAATAAAAACTATTCTGTGTGGCCATTGTAATGCATCAGTATCAGAAAAGCCAGAATGAAAAAACCCACAAACTGAATGATCTCAGGAGCAGTCCAATATAGTTATAATGGTTTTACATTAAATTGTCTGTAACAATTGCCTGTTATCATACGGTAACAATTCAGAGATATTGGGAAAGAATACTGGATTAGAGGGAGCCAGAATTTTATAAAGCAAAAGGAAAGAACTTGTTCATTTACTTTTTCCATTGTTGGTTTTCATTGCGTGAATGTGGCAAATGGCAATTTTATACAATAGCTGACAATAGCACCCCAACAAAGGAGGGAGTTCTTTACCTTCCCCCTCCCATGTTTGAACAGAGCTCCAGAAAGGATGGTGCAGGGTAATTTTTCCTCCCTGGAGTTGAATGACACTGCAGCAAAGGAACCAGTTTCCAATCCTCCTACAGGGAAGAAAAGACACTGAAGAAGTAACAAGAAACAAACCCAGAATGGGGATGTGCTCATGCATTTACACACATTTAAAAAGAAGTTTACTCTGTCCTTCACCATGTGCCATTTTTTTGGTCTATGCTGTCTGGTATTTGAGCAAGGGGCTGTTTTCCAGATTTCAGTGATGTAGCAGAAAAAAGGTTCTCATCATCCTTTTTTGTTGTATCCGTTAGACAATAGTCTAATAGCCAGATTCTTCCTTCTCACTGTTCTCACTCAGCACCCTTGGAATGGCAGCAGGACATGACTGCTGTATGTCTTGTGCCTCTCGTAGGGTTGCCCAACTGGTACAGCATCCTGCACCTCAGTGTTCTGCATACAGCATAAGGTAGTGCTGAATGAGAAATGCCATGACCAGTTTATAAGAAATATAAAGGCTGTTTCATCTGTACTGCTGTGCTTTTGGGGAGTTACCTAGACACAGACCTCACTGTGCTGGGTGTAATATGCCCTGTCTGGCAGAACCATATAGTCATGAAATTCAGAGGAGAAAGAACACAAAATAGCATTGCCCTTCTCATACAAATGAGAACTGAGGCACAGTTTCTTCTTCACCAAGATCAAAATGAACATCTGTGGCATGTAAGAGAAACAAATCTCAGAATAACAAGTCTGAGACATTTCTTTCATGTGGGGGATAGCTGAGATATATGAAATGGGCTTTTTAGGGACTTTGACTTCATTCTTTGTCAGCAATAAGACCTCAAGGTGTTACATATTCTTGAATATGTTAAGTTCAGCTGATTTGCCTTCAGGGTTTTTTTCAGGGTAGTAATTACAGATTAAGCATTACAAAGCATATTTTTACACTTATTTTGACACAATATTTTTGAAGTTCATGAATCTATAAGTCCTGAACACTCTCCAGTATAGACAACACTAGTGATTTACATTATTTTGGAGTTGCAAATAAGTTTTCAAGGGTAATGGATTTCATATAGAGAGATTAAAAAATAACATTCCTTCATTTGTGCCTGGTGACTTCTTTTCCCCTGTCATACTACATTTAGCAAAAAAAAATAAGGCAGAAAGGATGCTGGTATATTTTTATGTTAATTAATGTATTTTAATTTCAAATAGCATTTCTGAAGCTCAGATAGACTCCAAAAAAATTGGTACCAGGGCAAAACTAATGAATTTTAATTCTTTTCAGTATACTTATGCTTTCATGAATTCTTTTTGTTATATTCTGGTGTATGAGAATGCATCAGTAGGCACTCAGAGCATACAGCCCACAGATCTGATTTTTACAGAAATCCAGCTTAACTTTTTTAGCTACATAATAAAGTGCACCTCAGAAGTGTGTTATTTTTAGTGACCAATTGGGTAATAACTAGAAAAAAGCATACTTCAGACCAACTTTTAAAAGATTTTTTGAAAACAAGGGATTGTAAATAGCAAGTAGTCTTCCTGCACAAAGGATGCATTTGACTGTTTTGTAGCTAAATTGTATTATTCTTGGACAAATTTTAAGGGTGTGCCACTCATCCCAGAAAGGCTGCAGCTAATAACTCACCCTTGCTGCTGTTAAATTGTTTAAAGCACTGTGATCTATCCCTTAGGTAGTTAAACTGCACTAACTCTGCTCTTCCATATCTTGGAGCACCTCGAAAAACTCTCGGCTCCTTGGGAGTGCAAATGGTTTTGGCCATGCTGCTGTAAAACAGAGAAGTCCATGATCTCTGCAGTTTGCCCACAGCTGCTGGAGCTGAGCAGTGACTATATTGTGATGCTGATGGTGAGGGGCACAAGAAGCAGCCTTGTTTAACATCATAGTCCATGGATTGCACTCCGTTAATCCCAGACAATTTTAATAACAGTTCTTAGCTCCAGGCACAGATTCACTGGCAAAATTCTGGCCTGTTGTAATTTACTTGTGCATCCTGTTGAGAGTAGGGCACAGTAAACCGGTCTGTCCTTTGTGCAACACTCATCATAACAGCAATATAAAATCAATGACATTGTTGAGAAGAATTGTTGTTACTCATCAGAACAGACCATTAAATGACGCTTTTTTTTACTTCCATAACTAGCATACCTAGGTGTTTGTGCAAAGCAAGAGCACCAGCCATAATTTACTGCATTGTAGTAAAATCAACAATGCAGCATTCCCCAGAGCCAGACAAATCTCATATTTGATTTGCTAAGTGAATAGAGAGAGAAAACATGCTCCCCAAAAATATTTTTAATCCCATTACTATATTTCTTGTTTGTAACCCTCCAGAACCCTCACTGTATGAGTAAACACTGATAACTCTTGAAACCAAAACATTATTCTGAAACCTGATTTGAAACCATTTCTTTTACAAGTAACAAAGCTAATCACACTGATTTTCTCAAAATTCTTCCTTTTGGAAGAAATAAAAAAGAACAATTTGAGAAGTTAATGGTAACTCACCGGTAAGTTTCAGCTGAGCAGAAACAAATTTGAAACAAAAAATGTTAGATGTAAAAAAAAAGCATCTGATTCCATCTAAGAGAAAATTCCCATAGCTAGAGAGGAAACTCTCTGTAGTTTAGAGTAAATTCAAATTTAGGATATTATTATCCAGCTATATATAGCCATAATCATATTTTTTTAATTAGAAAATTATTCATAGTTTAAGATACTGCAGAATAGGAAATATAGATATTTACAACAGACTAATTTTTTTTTCTATGAAAAAATTGACACATTAAAAACATTTTTCTTGTCTGTAAAATTGTGTTTTCTTCCCCAGGTCTTTTTGAACTGTGATAGATTTTTATTTTGTTTGGTAGAAGTTTGGACATTGAATAAATATAGTTTCTTTCTAATTAAATGATGATAAAAAGAATTTTGTAATATTGAAATAATCTACTCTTGGTATAAGTTTGCAGTTGGTTGTTCCTACCTGAAACATGAAGGTAAGAAAGACAACTCATTGTCTCAGCTTAGTGGTAGGAATCTTCCTAACTGTTGAATATGTTAGAAGAATGGAGATGAATGTTTGCTTGTTATAACTTAACCATTCGCTCAATACAAAAAGTGGTAGGCTTTGTGGACTGAGCATTCATCTATACTCCAAGATTTCATAAGTTTGCAAATTTAAATTTAGGTTTCAGAATTGCCTTAAAAGCCAAAAAAAAAAAAAAAGAGTTATCTGCATGAAGATTGTACAAATTGGTTAAAATCAGAGCCCATTAGATCCAACAGGAGATTTCTTTCTGGAATAAAAGACCTTTTATATAAATATCAACACTATAAATTTTAACATGAAAGACAAATGAATTTACAGGTTGGAAATACATACAAAGAGAGGATTGAAAAATATAAAATAGAAAACTTAGCGAAAGATTTTGGCTTAGAGCAGACTACATTAATTTTAACAGTTAAGCCCTGCATAATATAGTAACTCTACATTATTGTTCTAGGTACCTGGGAATAACAAGACCTCTTACGTACCCTGTAAGGCAGAATGGGAAGTGTATGGCCAAAATGATCCTGTGTGTATGGCTTTTATCTGCCTCTATCACTATACCCCCGCTCTTCGGTTGGGCCCAAAATGTAAATGATGAAAAGGTTTGTCTGATCAGTCAAGACTTCGGCTACACCATTTACTCCACAGCAGTTGCATTTTATATCCCCATGTCAGTGATGCTTTTCATGTACTATCAGATTTACAAAGCTGCCAAGAGGAGTGCTGCTAAACACAAGTTTACTGGTTTTCCCCGTCTGGAAGAAACGGAAGGGATTTCTATGAATGGAATTGTAAAACTGCACAAGGAATCTGAAGAATGTGCTAATTTTTCACGACTCCTAAAGCACGACAAGAAAAACATTTCCATCTTTAAAAGAGAACAGAAAGCTGCCACTACCCTTGGGATTATTGTTGGGGCTTTCACTGTCTGCTGGCTGCCCTTTTTCCTCCTCTCAACTGCAAGGCCCTTTATCTGCGGGACGTCATGCAGCTGTATCCCACTCTGGGTTGAGAGAACATTTCTATGGTTGGGCTATGCAAACTCTCTCATTAACCCTTTTATATATGCCTTCTTCAATCGAGACTTGAGGACAACTTATCGCAACCTCCTGCAGTGCAGATACAGGAATATCAACCGGAAACTGTCAGCTGCAGGGATGCATGAGGCTCTGAAGCTTGCAGAAAAGCCAGAATTTGTTCTGTAAGGTCACTCATCCTTTACTATGATAATTTGTTGTTTTATCACATTAGCTTTTTCCCCACAGATTTGAAAGAAGAGTTATAGGAAGAACCAGGCTTCTTGAGGACTGTTAATGCAGTCATCAAGAAACTGGAAGGTAGCAGCGTAGAGCCCACCTGTGAGCCTGGAAAAACAAGACCACCATCTGAAGAATCTGGGTGTAAGAGGAATATTAGAAAGGAGGAGAGTGAAATGTGGTGCAGGATGTATGAGCTGCTAGTGAGGAAAGAGCAAAGTTGGTCTAACCCACCTGTTTGGTCCAAACAACTGAAGGTCTGAATGTTGGATGCATCTTGTATCCTAGAGATTCTTTGCTGTAATAAAGACCTGAGAATGGTGAAAAGTTTACTGTAATTCATTACTTTCCACTTTGTTATTATAAAAATAAACCATTTAAGAAGAAGCTGGATCAAAGAACTTCTATCAGTTAGAAATATTCTTTATTATAAAAACCCATATGTTCATTAAACATTCATTTACTAGATTGCCTGGAAATGAACTACTTTGTGAAATTTAATATTGCCTTTGCACAGCAACTCTGGCACTGAAAGAATACATTATACTTCCAACGTGAGTATAAGAGTTTGAGTAAAGTCACAAGGACCAACTTCTACTGCTGCATACAGTCATGCAGCACAGTTAGTTCAGTGCTGCTATGCTAACTACACCAGGTAAAGATATTGTCCTATATTTCTAACACAAGAAATATATCTGATTATGTTTTATTCCAGTATCTGTCTGATCTTTGTCCGTCTCTTCAGTCTTTAATTCTCTTGGCTTTCTTAGCTGAGCCCTTCTCTAATCTAGATGGAGACTCTGTCTGTGCTCAAATAATTTCTGTTGATGTATGGTTAGTACTTGTTCCACTTCAGTAGCTAATTTACTGTCTATTTGAAAGCTCTTCTACTTGGGGTTTCTATCTCTTCTGAAGTCAGTAAGAAAAAAATAAACTTAAAACTTTATGACTTCAGAGACACCTGGACTTCATCCTTACAAACCAATTTTAATCATCACTTCTTCTTAAAGTAATTTAAAGCCTTGCCCTTTGTAAGAATCAAGATAGTTTACTGTTTCTAGCTTTTCCTACCACCACTGCAGCTTGTCTAAGTATGTGACCCTATTTCTCCTGACTTTGGTAACAAAGTTCTTCCCTCAGTGGAGCAGGGCCAAATATTATAACAGTGTTTTTATTTAAAAATTAGTTATGGAGGTGTTGATTATAATAATATATTTTAATAATGTATTAATATAATATGCACTGATTGCATCAGGTATTACTGTAAGAACCTAAAATAATGTAAAACAACTCATAATATCAAAATGCTTTCTCTGGACTGAGTTTGCGCTGCACACCATGTTCCAGATGAAGCAACAGGGTATATTAGTGAACAGAGACTGCTTCAGAGCTTGATCTACTTTTTCAGATATCAGGACCTCAGTGAGGAGACATGTTCATTCTCAAATTACCTCAGCATCAGATTGCACTTTAGGCTAACTTCTGTCCCCGCTTTCTCCAGTGTGAAGCCAAAATGACTTAAATGAGTTAATTTGGGATAAGTAGTGAGAATTTTGTGCCAGATCCCTTGTTCAAAGCATTCAGACATAATTGCAAACACGTGAGCTTTTAAGTAGCAGATACATTAAGTCTTGGATTAGGTATGCTGAGCTATGTGTACTGAAACATGCTTAAGTCATTTCAGATGCATTTATAGACCAGGATACATACAGTAGGAAGAACATTTTTGTCTCATTTTTAGAGAAGAATCCTAGTTTTGTAATAGTAAGAGGCTTTAAAACAGTTTTCTAAAGAAGTTTCACATTGATTTGGAACAGTCCTGTTTCTTTTAAATATTCCAATATTAAGAACAGAAGAACAAGAAGATATTTAGGCCCAGAACATACACAAGCTCTGGAGTACAGAGTAGAGCTCATATTAATTCAAGCATATTTTCCATATTAAACATGAAATTACTGTTGTTTCTTTGTTACCTATCAGAGTAGCAATTTTTTGGTTTCCAGCATAAGTGAGGCATTTTCAAGGCCTTCTGTAAATTCTTTTTTCTGTGTAAGGATATATAAGAGAATATATACAAATAAATGTATCTGTGAAGACTCCAAGTGGAACTATAAGACCTCTGAAGGTGATTTTAGAATTCTGGGCAGAAGTTTCAGCATTTTTATTCAGCAGAAAAGTCTGAGAAGTTGTGTTCCCTCCAAATAAGATTTTTCTTTTTTTTAATTAAATGTGTGTCTTATGAGTCAGAAATTGATATTTGCCCAGCTGTCACTAAAGGCAATTCCTTTCCTCAGGAAGGACTCCTGCAGGACTCCAGTTTTCCTCTGTTTCAGGTAATGAGAGCCCAGGAAAGAATAAGAGTTGTTACGGGCTGTGTACCAATCCTTGAAGTTTTTGGAGATAAACATCCACCTTTCATGTCTGGATATGTTTGGAAAGAAAAGAAAAACAAAACAAAATGAAACTAAAACAAACCACCACCAAGTTTATGTATATACCCAAACCAAAACATAGACAAACGGAAGCTGTTGTTAGATGGACCTGTGTTTGAGGGGAAAAGTAGAGAATCAAGATTAGAACAATGTCTCTTTGCCAAAGCACACAGATAAAAAGAAAAGAAACGGAGGAGAAAGTTTTCAGACAGAATTCTAATGGAAAGAGGCCTGGATAAGGAGGGAAAGACAAGGAAATAATTGCTTGAGTTGATGAACAGGACATTTTACTTTTTAAAAAGATAAAGAAATAGAACTGCATTACAATAAATGCAGCAGTAGCATTTTTTTTAACTTAGATAATTCATTGCACATCTGACAAGGGGGTAACATATGAATGGGTGAGAGAGAAGTCTACATCAACATGTGTGCAGCCTGGTACATGCTTTTACCAAACCCAAGAAGAGATTGCACTCTTGATCAGTGTGTTTTTACATGTGTTTCGAGAAGAAAGCAAAAGGAGTGAAAAAATATCTATAAAATACTCCAAGAACCATCCAGAGCACAGGGAGCCAGCATAACACTGACTAAATGAAAGAGAAAAGTGAGATATTGGAAGTAAGACATGGAAGCAGTTCTGAGTTTCAGACTTGTGATAATTACTTTTGGGAAAATGTGCAAAAATATAGAGGTAACAAAGGTACATATCCAAAAAACTGAGAATAAAGATGCAAACCTCTCTAAAATATGCTTGTACAATGCCAGTGAAGAGACTGTTGCTACCTCACTGCCTAAAGGACAGCTGGGCTCTGTAGGTCACCACTGCTCTGGATTTAACAAAAATCTATTTAAAAAAAAAATTAATAGCAGCATGAAGAGAATCTCGACCTTAGGTAAGATCTGTTGATGGGAAATCTAAGCCAATTCTTCTTATTTAAGAAGCAGTTCATATTGTCTAAATCCACAAATTGTAGTCAGAGAAGAATGTGAATGCTGTTGACAGCTCCCTCTGCAACCCCACTTCTGGGAGGTTTGAAGGATTTCAGCTCTCTCATCCTTAAGCCACAGTCTGAGATGTGAGAAGTTCCACATTAACTACAGAGTATGCCATCTTACAATATTTGGCAATCTCAGGTTTTCTAAGAAGGTAGATGTCACTTTGTGTAAGTTGAAGTGTTTGACAGGAAAGGTTAGAGTTGTTCCTTAGATGCACAGGGCAGTACAGTCTGGAATACAAGACAGCATGGAAAAAGTTATCCTAGAGAACAGGATTGCCCTTTCACTACAGTGCAGACCTGGCCTTACCCCCAGATGAATTTTTTTCATCTGGGGAAGCTCAAGGCAGCTTTTTTTATTAGCTACAGGACCCACATTCAGTGTTTCTGATTAGAAACCTCAGTCATATTGCTGCACATCTTAGACCATCTTCCTACCAGCTGGTAGTTATGAAATTGATTTCTAGCCACTATGGGATTTCTGGATGGTGGAGGTGGTAGGAAAATGGGACCAATGCCAAGGTGATACTGGGAAATGCAGTGGTTACCATAGCCTGGGCTAGGAGCTGAGGAAATCAGGAAGTAGCTGTGCAGCTTCTGGCAGCATCTAGACCTCCTCTTCATCCAGCATAAGCAGCCACTCAGTCACAGCCTTCAGCTGCAGCACGAGATATTCAATTGCTGCCAGAATTATCTAGATATCAACATGCCAATTAGACCTTGTTTACTTTATACAACTCTTTGTTCACCTCTAAAGTGTGTATAAAAGTGCTTGAGAGTAGCCACTGAGTGAGGCGGTTCCCTAAAAGGAATTTTAGTCACAACTACGTAAGAGATCCTTCCTTAAGTCCACTTTTCAGTATCACAAGCACATTTGACCCAAGATAAACATCGCCTGTGGCCAAAATAAAAGCAAAATAGCAAAGCTTGAAAGGCACAGAAACCACTCCCCTCCTCCTCTTACACAGCTCATTATATGGTATTAGCAGTACCCTATTTATAATTTATCTGTAAAAGTAACGCCAACTCTTAAGGAATTCCAGATGAGATGGTCCTGGATGAGCCTCCTTTACTTGAAACAGTCTTTTCACAGCATGTCTGACACCAGTAATAAAGCACCAAATGTATAGATTGTACTTTACCAGGAAGTCCCCCTGTTTCCTTCTCTCTCATCCTGCTCATATGCACCACGTTTACATCAATTTTCCTCAATGAACAGGGCTTCAGATCAATAGACTTAGATTGAATAAATCTCCTTAGTATATCACTCTTGGACCAGAGTTTGAGGTAACGATTTAGTGTGGCCAGTTTGCAGCCTTTCCTGCTCACCTTGGACCCTCCCACCTCTGGTTTCAGTTAATTACCCAGAGTCAAATCAGTAACTGTTGCTTAGATGTTCTGAAGTGCCACATAGGACCGTATTTCTTGATTGCTGTTCCTGCTGACAACTACCTTTGCAAATATACAATGTGCTATTGTAAACCCCACTCCCATTTCATGGTAGCACTTAACCTGCAGTAAAACTGGGCAGAAACAACACATAGCATTTCCCACGGTGTTTTCCCTCCTTGTTCAAATAAAACTCAAAGATTTGTGGCAGTATCAATACATTGTGAAAACTGTACCTCTCCTGCTCACTTAATACTGCTTTTTTGAGGGAGACTCTTGCCACTTACCAGCCTATAGGTTTAATACTGTAACACAGTACTGGCACTTACTAAATTCCTCTGTTTAGGAGGAGTCTTACTGGGTAATAATAGAAATAACAGAGTAGTAAAACGTGAATTGACTATAATATCTTATTATTATACATCTATTGCTTCACATTTCAGTTCCATGAAAAGAAAAACAACATCTTTCATGCTCTGTTCAGAGATTTACTAGCTAGAACCACCTGCAGAAAGATGTGTGGAACAGTGGGAAATAAATCTACAACGAGACATAGAGGAGAGAATTATTTATCAAATTAATACTATAAGTAATGCAGACAATATCCATTCACTCCCTCACCCCTGATTTATAGCAGGAAAATGGTTTTCCAGGCAACCACTGCTCCAGGCAGCACAGCATCATTAGAAGAACATTATTGAGTTAAGTGTTTTGATTGCTGACCAAGATGCTGCAGTTACACATCTAGAAGGTGTTGGGAGCAATGCTGTTTGTTCTCTTGCTTTCTCCTTAACTTTTCATATTATTTTCCTTATCTTTCAGGAAAAACTATTTAAATTACACTATTCTCATAAAATGTGCAAGATCAATGTGTCATCAAATCCTCTTCACAGTTTGCTTAAGAATCAGTTCTTGTCTTTTAAAATGGTGTTGCTCAGGAAGACACAGGGAGAGAGAAGGGAGAAAATTTAGAATGGTCTTAATGTGCAAAATTGTTAATATCCTGGAACAGAAGACACCCTTTATTTCAAAGAGTGAGGAGGTAACAATTGTGAGAACTAGATATTTATTTCTTTTAAGAGTTGGACTCAAGTAAGTAAATTTAAAAGTAGCCTAAGAAACACTGCTATCTTTACAATGTGCAAAAACCCAAACTTATATCCCTCTTCATGGTCTCAAATCTCTAAATAATTATTGCTGCTAAAGAGTGGCTTCAGCATGAGTTTGAAGTGAATTAGTACTGCTTTCTATACCCACTTTCTAAACATTTTGTGGACCTGTCCTTCCCCACACTCGCTATCCAGCTGCTCTGCTGTATTGTCAAATCCCTTCTCATAAAGTCATATTTCCAAAAGGGCAGAATGGATTTTGTTTGCTGAAAACTGAAAAGATGCTTATGATTCCCAGTTCATTTTTCACTGCTGTAAGCAAAAGAAAACCCATTGAGATATTGTATTTTCCTAAGATAATAATATATGTTTGCTGTCGGAGAGAATATTTTGATGATTTATAACTTTGTGACTTTACTGATTGAAATTTTTTGTCATTTGTGATCATTTGCATAGAACCAGTCAATTTAGTTCAGAAAAAAAGCATACAAATGTATCAAAGTTTCCAGAAGAGACCATGCAGTTTTATAAACCAACATACCAGACTGAATAAATATTTTGCTTTTAGTTTTCTATCTACTCAGTCAAAACCAACAATATTTCATTAATTCAGTAGTTGTGTGGTCTTTTTAGTTCCAGAAAATTCTGTTTACAGTGTACTTATTTTCTTCTGCAAGAGAAGAGAAAGCAAGCCACTGTAATATACTTAGTTCAGCCCTTCCGGAGAATCTGTGTTTTAAAGCATGGAAAAACATAGAAGAATGCATCTGGATAAGCTCACTATTGTCTCAGAAAACTTTGCATCTTTGGCCAAACTAACCAGGATTTCAGCAGCTCTGTGTTAAAACAGCAGAGATTCCTCAGTCAAATCTATCATCCTGAAGATGGTTGCAAGGAAAAGACAAAATTAGGCAAATTAAATGAACATCTGCTTCCCAGCAATAATTGCAATAGCAAAACAGCTCCACCCAGTAAGTAAAACCAATGATGATATTCTTGTAATCTGAAGTCTGAAACAGCACAATGACAAAATATTACAGGTGCTTCATAGAAATACAGAAATTAATACCTTAATGGTATGTTTTCGAACTGAGTTAGAGCTACTTGCCAACAATTTTAGGGACTTTTCCTTTCATATTCAATTAATAGAGACTTTCTCTAAGGAATGCTGGAGCAAGTTGCTGTGGTTTTGCAGTCTATTAAACAAAGCATGTGTTTGCTGTAAGGAGGATGTACACCTTCTGTGTACTGATATATTATAGAGAACCTACTCAAGGTATCTGTTGCCTCTCCAAGCAAAGGGCATTAAAGAAGCCCAAATATTTATCCTGATACTGAAGAAATAACAGGAATAAATAAAAGTAACATGGGCAACAAACACATACAGAGAACTTGAAATGTTTGTGATATTTCACTGCAAACATTCAAAAAGCCTCTCTCTTCCTTCCAGAATATTTATTTTTTTTCTTGGCTTGTATACAGTAAGTATCCTTGACAAATCCATAAATTTTATTTCTGTCTTCAAAAAAAGAAGTAAATGCAGCAAGTGAAAATCATGCTAAGGACCTTTAACTTGTCATTACAAGAAAAAAAATCCAATTTTCAGTTAGACACATAAAGTTAATGCTACAAAATAACATTTTTTTTTTAAGATTAGTATTTTCTTTCCAAAATAATCTCCTGTCAGCCCAGAAAACAACCTAAAAACCATCAGCACTAAAATGGTCTGGAATGATTTATAAAAGCAAACTTTTACCCATAATAATGAAATAAAACATTGGGTTTTTTCCATGTATTTTCTTAAAAGTTGCTCATCCAATTAATGTGATATCTAACAGACAGTAACATTTCTTAGGGCAAATTATATAAAGTCCAAAATTTTTTTCTGGTTTTAAAAAAAAATCCACAACTAACTAAAACATAACGTTTGAAGATATCTTTATCTTTCCTTTATACGTAATTTTGAACTTGAATGTAATTACCTGCCATCCTTTAATTTGGATCAATTTTTGCAAATATTTGTTTTCATGTAATAAAATATCTGAAATAAGTGAGAATGCAGGTTTGTCTGTAAAAATACCTGCTTTTGATACATTCAAGGTATGAACAATTCCATGATTGATTTCAACAGGGAGGCTATAAAAAGACAAAACAGTACCTTGCTGCGTGCTATATCCAAGCAAAATTGGACATGGGATGCCCTGAAAACCTGTCTTGTAATCTCAAATGTTACAACATTTCAGTCGGGTTACTGTAGAACTTTGTTTCTTCCCTTTAACAAACTTGGGAAGAGAGGTAGGAATTTGTATTTTCCACGCAAAGCTTTTGCAGTCATTATTTGTCTGCAGACAGTTTTATGAAATTGAGGAAGAAGTCTACATTATTGCTCTGGCTCCTTCCTCCCTCTCTCACACGCGCGAGGTCCCCATGAGCAGTGGCTCGTGTAGCGCTGCCTCCGGAGGCTGCAAGGCTGGGCCAAATGCAGGGATCTCAGTAAAACCACCTACATTTTCTAAAATATTTTTGGGCTTTTCACACTGAATTGCATAAAATGGACTGGGAACTTCCTCAGTTCTCACAAGAACCCAAAATATAATGAATATGAAGGACTGAAGGCCCCCAGAATGCTCCACTTTCCCCTAGCTTCTTTCTCTGTATGGCACCTCTGAGAATTATCTCTATAGACATGATCTAATTGCCTCTTAAGAAATGTTTCAGTGGTACATGGATCAGAAATTTTAGTTGCTCCAGGATATTTCTCATCTAATTCATCCACTTTTTTAAATACAGGAGGAGTTCTGATTTCTCCAGGGAAAAAGAGTCATGACCAAATGTGCTTTAAAGCAGCCAGAATAAGCCAAGCCAGAACAGGAAGAAGAAAAATGAAGAGTTGGCTTCTAAAGATCTGGATAGATTTATGAAGCATACTTCATCTTCTTTTGATGGAAATGTGCTAAAAATACTCCATGAGCTCGATACATTACATTAATACATTTCTGTTGGAAGCAGTCACATCTTGTTTGTTATGAAGGAAAGTGCTGCTATACACAAATGAAAATAGTTTTCTGCCTGAGAAAGCCAAGCCATTTCAGCAATAAGAGTTTGGCACACAGGGTTGAGAAACAAACATGCAACTAAAACTCAAAGATCTAGCATTGTACAGATTTCTACCACATTAAACAATGTAGAAGAGTATTCATATGTTTACCATGCTCATGGATCATAACATTAATATTAATATTCAGGGATTTTCAGTGATACTGAATGTATTTTGGTGCACTACAAAAAGAGATTTTCAGGCAAATTCTGGCTCTATGGATGCTTTCAGGGCTTGTGTTAGAGATGCCATGCACCTGGAATGGGATTGAGAACAACAACAATAAAAGACCAATTTTTGTAAAAACATTCAAACATTCTATTGTACTAAGTAAATGCCTGTTACTTGTTAACATACATGTGGTTTGTTCTCCCAAACCTTTTAAAAAAGCTGCTTTCAGTTATGCTGTGACAAAAGTTAAGAGACAGAATTAGAACGCACGTGTATTACACCACAGCTAATTTACAAATATGATTGCTTTGATTTAATGTAATTTTCATGACCTACCAATTTACAAATTTCTATAATTTCAACTCAAATAAGTATAAAAGGCTGGAGAATGTCCATAGTTCTTTGCTTTTTATCTTACTGAGTAGCTAGAGAGAGATTTAAAACATTTATTATTTTAAAAAATGTGTTTAAGAAGTATTATTTCTGCCAATTTTTTTTATGATTAAAATAGATCCCTTTGGCTTGACAAAAATCAAATAGGCAAGTATTAATGAATGTCTGTCCCAGGGAAAATTGATTCAAGATATTGTTCTTAAAATATGCCTTCGAACATTTGTTTTGAGCTTCTCATATTCATTTCCCCACAGAGTTTCTAAACTATGCATGGTTATACCGTCCACAAGGCAGTGGCACATCCCATTCCTAAGGGCTATCTTCCTTAAAGGTACATCTCAGTGAGCACTTACCCTATTTCCATAGCTGTGTGATTTGTGATAACATGGTCTCCTACTTGCAGTTTAACCAAAATGTGGCTGGTAAATCACACACTGACTCCACATGGCATCATGGCTTTGATTTCCTTTGTTTAAGTTAACATACAAGTTCACAATAGTCACCAGGCATATCAGGACGGGCCAATTCATTTCTTACTGGCAAGAGATAAGTATTGGAAGCAAATCAATACATGTTAAGCCTATGTAAAACCTAGAACAGAGAGCCTAATTCATCTTCTACACACTGCCCTGAGACCCTAAGATAACTCCTGTGGTTACACAAGAGAGCACCAGAGTATCATATTTTCATTGTAGTAGATTAGCAAGTCTCTTTTCAGTATTTCACTGATAAAACTAATCACTGTGAACTCTGCATTTGAAGCAAAATGAGTCCTATAATTTGCTTTATTTCCCCAATGGAATGACTCAGATATGCTTTTTACTTGGTTAGCCTTAAGTGTTTAACAGGAAATGGGACAGATATTGTCAATGGCAAATGGACCATTTCTGGTTGCATTACATGAAAATGCATTCAGAGAAACAGCCGAAGGCAAAACTACACTAGCAGATAATATTATAACTGAACCTAATGAGAAAGGGAGAGAATAGATCCATAAATGTAACAGTAAAAAAAAAAAAAAAAAGGTGTTTCTTGTTTTAAAAAACCCAAACCTTAAAATGAAGGGCACTAGTCATACTCTGAAACTCATTTTCAAGCTTTACAGTTTCATTTGCATGCCTATTTCACAAGGGCTATGAATCAATTTTACCTTGATGAATTAGACAGTCGTTTTCCTTGTTCATAATATTGTGCCAAAACCTTAACTTGAAGTGAAATGGAAAAACTATATGTCATGAGAATCGTTCAAAGGATTAACCCCCCCCCCCCAAATAAAAAAATGCTACCAATGAAATTTTTCTGTGAAAATTTTTGGGGTTACTAATGTCATTATTTTAAGTTTAAGTGAAAAGACATGTTTTAGGAGAAACTTAATGGAGGGCAAAAGAATCAGAAAGAGCTGTTAGGGAGCTACAGTTTTAGTTAGATATAACTATACAGATATATAACACACACATTCATCCCTCATATTTTAGAATGGTACTGCCTCGTGAAAAGAAGGCAATAAAACTAATATTACCTGATAAAACATCTGTTTCTTTTAATACTATTACATTCCCAGAATTGTGCAGAAATTAAAGGATATTTTAGGATGGGCTGTGGCAACCTAATAAAGTTGCAGTTCTACCTGTTTCCTTCCATAAAGAGTTTTTCATCCAGGAATTTTCAGACACATAACCCAGAGAAAATTGGCAACTACAGAATACTGATGCTTTGTCATACAAGATAAAACTCATTTTTTTCCGGCTGTAGCTGCCAGGTCTGCCCCCTCTCAAACCAACATGCTAACCTGTGCAGTAACTAGAAGTCACTCAAGGCTAAGGACATATCCAAAAATAGCAAATAATGCGTATAATACTTTAGAGGATCAGAGAAAAAAACAGGGCTGATCAAAAGAAGTCAAGTGATTGGATGACCTGTTGGGATAAGGAGTTGAGCTTTCAGTAGTTCCTGCAGCCAGTAGTACAAGGGCAGCACACAAACCTGGCCCACACTGAGATAATGCAAGTCCCCAGGCTGTAGATATAAAACCAGCAGAGTGAATAACGTCAGAAACAAGGCTCACACTCACTGCTCTGGATCTGCAGAAGATGCCTTTCTGGCGTCTTGTTCTGGGGTGTGACAGTGAGTAGTTTGTATTTTCACAGGGCTGCCTTATGGTAGATATCATTGCATTTGTCAGTTTTAATGAATAAAATTAATTTTAAAGAAAATGTGCAATTCCCTTGATCTTTCACTATCCACCCCAGCCTGTCTTGTTCCCCATATGTTCTTGGGTTGAACAGATCACTGAGATTTTTGGTGGACCAGCCTACTACACCTTTATTATACCTCTCTTGCCCTTCCCTCATTACCTGTTCTTTGTCCAGGTTGATCTGTTCTTTAAAAAACTTAAAGCCTTTTCCTAGCTGTCCCCTTGATTTTGATTTTACTGCAAAGTTATTGCTAAACTATCTAGTTTTAGTCATATCAGAAAGTGATTAATTTACTTCAGACCTGAGCAAAAAATAAATACAATGATAAAATAAGAAATTTTTCTTATTATCACAAGAAACACTGATGAAAAAATTTATGTGAAAGCACGAAAACCATATCTATGTACAATAAAAAACCAGTCAGATGTTCTTGATAATTTCAATAGGTAAAAGTGAATTCTATATATTGTTTCAGTCAGCTGGGGCTTCTTGTATGCAAAAGTCACTAGAGGATTGAGTTGCAACTCTATTTTCGGTCATATATTTTACCTTGATGAGAGCTAGTAAAACATAAAAACATTTAACATAAAAGATTATGTCCCACAAGTAGCTTACTAAGAAATACGGATACAAGGAAATGAAGCTCTTCAAGTTCTGAGTGGTCTGTGCTGAAGACTCAGAGTGTCTTTTGTTGTAATATGAGTCTTATTTGTAAAAAAGAGAATTGCTGCCACTTGTATTGAAAATTATTCAAATTTATACAGCAGACTAATTTAGCAGAAAAGGAAATATGGTTCTTCTGTATTAGGTACAGAGTTATATTATGCTTTTAAAATGTATAAGCTCAGAGGAATATTATAATGTTAATTTGGATAGTGTTTAAAAGGTAATTACTTTTATACAATAAAATAAGAAGTCTCCTGAATACTAATCTCTGTGTCATGTGCTTTCTTTGAATTAATGCTACATAAAATAGAGAATTCATTTGTATAAGTGATTTTAATTTAGATTCATGGAAGACATTCTCATCTACAAAAATGTCTGGTTTTTTTCAGCTCAAGCAATTTAAAATCCTTACTGTATTAAAATCAATGTTAAAGAAAGCTATCTACATTTGTTGAATAGCCCTGAACTGAAAGAAAGAGAGATAGGAAATGTTAATGACTCTCTTAAAGAAAGGGTGGTTTGGTGTGCTCAGCACAGGCACTGTTACAAGGAACACTGGCACAGACCATACTGAGCAGGTCGAGACTGATTGCCCCTAAACGGAAGCTGATTTCATCTATTCAATCCTTTTCAGGGAATGGGAAAGGCTCAGAAATTTTATTTGCATTTCAGTCTAGAGAAGGTTGAAAGATATTGAAAGACAGAAAGCATATTTTGTCCAATTTCTTGAATTCCATGAACATCTAATCTCATCTCTGATAATCTCTTCAATGCGCAGAGGGCATCAATCTTGGGACATCCTCAGAAAACAATATTCAGATTTTTTTAATATATTTAATTTATGCAAGCGTTTTCTTCTTTTTTCTCTGTTGAATCAATGGTTGTTTCTTTAGCTAACAACTTCTCCTATAGTTGACTCCCTATCTGAATTATTTTGTTAAAATACCAAGTATCTAAGTGGGGTATTTAGTCAAATAAGCAGAGATTATTTCCATCTGAGTTACAATAAACTGATAGATGAGACAGCCACAGATGATAATTTGATTACTTTTTTCAACATATCATAAAAGAGGTGTTTAGAAGACAGAGTATTTTGAAACTGCTCTCAAAAAAATCAGTTATGCACGTAGCCATTTGAGTTGTTCTGAGCGAACTTCCTCTCTTACAGTTTTAATTACCAGATTCAGGAAAAATGAAAGACACAAAGAGCACCACAAACCATGACGGGAAGTCACATCAGAGAAAAGTCAGTGAGAGATATATTTGAGACAGTCAGCATGTATACACAAATCTCCAGAACAAATGGAAACCAAACAAGCAGGTTGTACCTGTGTCCTCAGTCTGGGGTTACTTCCCATTGCCTGAATCCAGATGTGTATCTGGGGCAGGTACCACGAGGCTCGTCTTCTCTCCAGCACCATTCCCCATGCTGTGTCCATGAGGAAGGGAGCAGGGTGGGCACTGAGCAGGATGGAGCACACACCATGTCTCCTGCTCTGATCAGCTCTGGGACACATCTCTCCCCAAAAGCATGGATTGCTGAGGAATAAGGGCTCCGTGAGCCCTAAGGACCCACTCCCAAAGTCAGGTCACCAAACCTTTTCCCAGGGCTCAACAGGTCACAATTAACCCTCTTTTCCTGGAGAAGTGTCCTTGGTGAAAGGTCACATCCGGCTCCTTCTGAGGAAGCAGTTGGTGAGAATGAAGCAGAGCCAAAAAGACTCACCTCTCCAGTTCCCATCTTTCTGACTGTAGCTGTCATATTACTGAACGGAAAGGAATCTTTGCGCTATCCCAGTTCTTAATTTATTCTTGTCAAGCTGGACATTTTTTAACCATTGGTAAGTTTTTAGCAAGAATAAGAAGCCCTTTCTAAAATGATTTCTGATGAAGTTACAGCCAGTGCAGATGAACAATGTAAGAATCTTTCACATGGTGAAACTCAGGTTGATCTGCGCTTAAAATGAGAAATGTTAAGAACCTTTCTGCTCTCCTAGGCCATTTACATATGCCCACTCCATATTGATTAGTTTGACATTTACTACTCTTATTCTGTCAGCAGAAAGTTGATTTGATTTTCACTCTTGCTAGTACAATGTCACAGGTGTAATAGCACTATGAACAGCCCAGTATATTTAGAGATTGAATAAAATATGATTTCTGAGGAGTAATTACTGGTGGGAAACTAGATTTTAATATCAACTTACAACTGGATGGCAATTAACTAAATATAATTATTTTAATCATTATCACAATTTATAGATTAATCATTAGAGAAAAATGCCCTACTACAAGCTTATCTCTCATCTAAAACATTATGAAGATAAAGATATAGTGAGTGATCAGTTTCTTGAAAAGGACAGCAAGGGCAAGAAGCAAGCAAAGAGAAAAACAGTAGAAAAGCTGCAGCCTGTTTCAAATCATTAAGAGCTGCCACACTAGAAAAGCTTGTTTTCAAATCTGAATGTGATAATGAAGTGAAACCAAGCCCTAGTTTTTACACATATATGATCAGGAAATAGTAATTTTCGATCAGAAATATGGTGTATATATAATAAATATGATGTATATATAATAAAAATTATCCTGAAGGGAAAAGTTTTGTGAGATTGAATTAAATATTTCTAAAATTATGATCCAGTAAAACCCTACCTAGCTGCCATCACAGCATGGACATCTCTGAACAGCCAATTCTCTGGTTGTAAACTCCTGCAAGGCACAGAGGTCTGCAGAGCCAGAGCCAGCCCTTATGAACTGTCCAAGTTGTCAATCCAACACAGGCTGAGAACATGGCCTGTGTACCCACCAGAACTAGAGCTCTCCATGTCACAAATCCGGTCACCGCCTTTTAGAGATGCTTGTGAGAGTGGTATTATCTATGTTTCTTTTAAGGTGGTCTGATCACTTAGCACATGAAAAACCTTTCATCAAGGCTCACATCAAATCCATAATCTCCTTGCTCCTAGAGTGCTCCAGCCAACAGGCTATTTCGAGTGACAGAAGCATTGTCTGTCCCTTTTGGGGAAGACTCTTTGCAGAAAGCAATTCAATATTAATCAGACCAAACTGGAACTGAAGGGGTACATGACTCCATAGCCCAATACTTCAGATGTTAATTTACATTTAAGGAGTTATTTTATCCAGTGAGAGTATTGTGAAAGTACATTCAAAGTTGTTGACAAAATTCTGGGAGCAGAAACCAGGACTCAAGTTTACTGTTTTCCAGACGAGCTTCATCATCCCATCTTGCAGAATCAAACCTCTAGAGATTCTGTTTGGTCCACAGAGCTCAAATCTTTCCCCATAAAAGAACATTACTTCAACAGCAGAGTGGGAAACCTTTCCACTGCCAAGTCAGAGGACCTTGGTAATTCAGTGCATTCTCAAGAGGCACCCACGGATCAGATTTCTTATAGTAAGTATCACTGTCTGCAGAGACTGTCATAAACAAACACTTCTCTATGCCCACAATACAATTGCCTTTTCAAAGAAAACACAGATCTTCCCTGAAATCTTTGAAAGGAAAGAGCATAGGTGCCCATCTCTAGGAATGAACCCAAAAAATAGTAGGCATATCCTAATTCCAGAAAGTTGTTTAAGTATAGCATAGAGTATTACACTGGCTAGTTGAAGGAAGTTTTATTGCTCTTAGATCCCACCCTAAGTCTACCAGTCCCTCCTCAGACACTGCAGAAGAAGCCTATATACCTAACATCAGCATTGTCATTTTATTTTGGTCATCAGGCACTCAAGAAGGTAAGCCCTGTATTGGATTTGATGCAATTATTTTCAAAGTATGCTGGAACATACAGATGAAATCATTATATTATCGACTTTAATTAACTAAAATAAAATTATACTGTTCTCTCTGAGGAACAACTAAGATGCAATGAAAATAAGTAAGTTCAGAGAACCACTGTGCAGCTTGCACAGGGACAGAAATTATTTTACAGTGAATGATTATGTTAATTAACATAGTTTACCAGAGGCAACTCAAACCTTCATTTACAGCTTTTCATTTTTATGTGTTTGAAGATACGTTTCTATCAGCAAAAGTAGTAATTCCTTCCTTATGATACATTTTGGACTTACAGTAAATAAGAAAAATCCTCAGTGTTACTGGTATTTTGCATATAGACAGATAAAGTTTTTAAGAATGTAAACCAGAATCAACCAATATGTATATTTAAGTCATTAATCTAAAGCCTTTAGTTCTATGTTCATCTTGCTGTTTGAATTACCAGTTCATATTTACTTTCCAAAGGCTGTATGTGAGATTATGACTATGTTCTGGTTGCTTAGTACAGTGTAAGTCTCTGCTCTAATTTACAAATATACTCTCAAAATGCAAAAGTGAAGTTTCCTCATATCTAAGTAATGGCTGAAACTTCACAAGACTTCAGTAAGAAAGCACTGATATTTTGCCTATTAGTGAAAAGCTGTGCAGGTGTTATGAATACACATTAAGCACAACGCAAAAAATATAACTTACAGGGAGGGTTTCAGACCAGAGGCACTCCTTCAGCCATTACACTAATACTGATGTGATATTAACTGCTTCAGTGAGGCCTTATTAGAATATTTGGCATCCTTACACTCAGTAGTTGGAAATAATAACAGAAACTGGGCAAGCTCCTTTATTTGGATTCATTCTGGTGAATTTATCCCTGATTCCTGGCTATCCACGAAAGTTTAGATGGCAGAAATACTTTCACAGAGCATAACTGAAGCTAAAAAAGTACCTGTTGCATATAATACACTAAAATTTTACATAGTATAAGCTTGGATTTGGCAGGGAAAACCTATGTAACAGTTCAAAAAATATCAAAATACAACACTGAAAATTTAAGATAACTTTTATAATGTAGGGTCTCTTATTCTTCTGCTCCAATGTGACTATTCTGAGTGCAAGATCTTCAGACTAAGCATAAGACTTTATATCAAAGCAAGTTTTAAATGGTTGTTCAAAATTATTCTGTTGTCACAAAGGAACACTATAGTCTTTAAAATTCTCCCTTTAGAACTGTCCCAGATAATCGACAGGGTGAAAAAATATTATTTGTTAAATTATCACCTAGAAGGGGTTATAAATAGATTGAATTTTCTCCATTTCCTTAAATTGGCCTACCTAATTAGCTGGTTAAGCAGCACAGCAGATTGCAAAACACATACCTAGAAGATAAATAACATGAATGACCTCCAAAAATATATTTCTCTTTATCTGCTATAGTTCCATAAACTGCAGCTCAC